TAGCATGAAATTTAAATTTCAAGCTATTTTATATTAGAATCTTATTTAATTTTAGAATCAAATTTCTCGAATAATGATTCTTCATAAATAGATTTTTATATTTCTTATCTCATCGATTTAGAATATAAGAAGAAAATTCTTCGTACTATAGATCATATATTAATTCCATCAATTACGAATTCTTTTTTTAATTATCGAAAATAGGTCGACTTAAATATATTTATTCATAAATATAACGAAATCTAAACTTATTCATATATCTCATATAAATCGATCCATTTTCCGAGAAATTAATTTTATCGAAATTATTCTTGATTTGATTATATATCTTAAATCATCCAGTCGATTTCTGCCGAAAACAATAAAATTTATCAAAAGATATTTATTCGATCGTAATATAATCATATCGATATTCATAAAATCAATCTTTTACCATCATATCGAATTTTCCCAAAATACTATTCAATATAATTATTTTTTTCGTCGTCGAGAGAAATAAAGCTTTAAATATTTAGAATTATCTACCACCCATATTTTAAATATAGAAATATATATGAATCATACGGAAGATATGCACGATCTTAAAATATACGCGTCATATCAATAGAAGTGTCCGAATTCATGGGCATGCTCGCTAGCATAGATGAGCAGAAATAAAATTTTTTCTTTAAATCCAAATATTCGCGACCATTTTAAACTTCTATAAGAGGCCATAATAATCTAAGTAAGAATTATCTTTCTGGTCAAATATAAAATTGCCCTAAAATATCTTACATATATCGCTTCCAATTACACTAATACCTTAGGGGAAGAGACTACGAACGAGAGCGCCATCTATAAATAACGTAAGATAATAATTATAAGAAAATGTATCCGAGCGGAACAACGTAAAATATCCGAAAATCAAATATTATATCCAAATAAATAATTTTTCAAATAATATTTTAAAATATATTCAATATCACAAAGACGATAATTCTTAAATTGAATTTATATAATCGGTCCATATTCGAAGACAAATAAATACAAATAACATCTATCAATATAATATAAAATATATAACCATTCATATCGAAAGAATGTCAAGAAAAGAAATTCTATATAATCTCTTAAAATATACGTATTTTATTAATAGAAGTATTCAAATTCTAAGAAAATTAATCTTTTTATATCTAGGCTCCCCAATCTAAAGAAGCTATCATATATATATATATCATTTAAGACATCATATTTCTTTAAATTTGCGCATTATTATAAAATTAAAAATTCAAAGAGACTCGTCATATTATGAAACCAAACCTAATTCTATTCAAATAATCTATCTTCTAAAAAAATACAGATTAAATTTTTAATGCTTGCATATTTTTTTTATAACGATATTTCCTCTAATCTTCCACCAAAGGAACCCATTGCGGCACATTGGTATTTCGGATCTTACCGACTGAGAATCACACCAGTAATCTATCATCAAATGCTTGCAAACCCAGATTCAACGATTCAGATGACCAAATATTTTGCTCGTCCTGTCAAATTGTCAAAGTTTTTTATATGAAGATATTCGAGGTTCTAGTCACACCATAATGGAAGCTGGTTGAGTGAAACATTGAACCTCCTGCGGCTTGGAGGCAGCGTTGCTAGGCTACCGCCCGCAGGGCATGACTCAAAGAGCCGGGCCCTGTCCGAAACTTCTGGCGCAGTCCTCCATAGAATACCTCCGTCCTCTGCAGTTTCGGGCCGGCCAAGACAGCTCGTACATTGACAATGTGTTTTGCAACACCGGACTCGCAGCTCACTTGGGTGGCCTCAGGCATCATCACATGCACCACAGCGTTTCGCACAGGAGGTGAAGGGGTGTGAGGTCCAGGTCTGAGATTGATCGAAACCGAAACAGCTTCGTCTGCGAAAAAGACCTTGAACCAAGAGGCTTGTAGCGTGCCAAGAGCGCGTCATCCTGTTCGGACTCCGACTCGCCACCTTTCTGCTCGCATGCTGCTTCTGGGATCCATCCAGCTACTTCCCTGTTCCCCCACGCAGATTGCTGACTGCTGACGAATTCAGACCAGCTGGAGTCTGGCTCAATGCTGCAACCTGGAACAGTCGACTCAAGGCACTCGAGGCTGGAGGTCAGGTGCCGAGACTCTAAGCCGAACCTGTTTCCGCTACACCTCTTTAAACACTTTAGGGTGCATAAACCCGCCCAAGCCACAGCTGTGGACAGTGTGTTCACATCTCACCAAGGATATGGAGAACCACAGCTGAGGCGGGCACTGCTGTGCGCGAGTACAGCTCCATCCGCTGTCCTTTTGATGCCGGACCTCAATGTCGCTGAGAGTGTAGTGCATTTACGGGCATCCAGCCCCAGCAAATTCGATGGGTCGACCGGCAAAAGCCAGAGCGGACCTAGTGGACACCTGCGGAAGTCGGGAATGGGACTTTGTGGCCCTTGTATGCATCTGTGTCAAATTACGTCGAGTGTCCATTCCCCCGCGTCGCGAACAACTTCTGAGAATTACAGCAGATCAGTCGGCAGAACGTTGCACGGTAAGGCCCGTGCTTCTTGTCCTTCTTCTTTTCCTTTTTCTTATCTTTCTTGCCTTTGCCCACCGCCTGCCGGCCAGCCGCTGCAACGGGGCGGCTACGAAGAACAGAACCTGTTATCCAGCAACATCGTTCCTTCCACCACGATGCAACATGTACATGTTTTCCTGGCGGCTAATCGCACCTCTAGACTCTAGACGTCACGTCACCCTCTCCATAAGCCTCACTGGCACCCTGCTGGACTTTGCCATCTCGATCTCGGGACCCATGGTTGCACGACTTCACGGGAGGGATTGCAATTCTTTAGGCCGCTTCGCCTGTTTCTTGCTTGTTGGCGATAATGATTCCTGCCATTAGTGCTGCACTTACTATACAGTATTGTCGCTGTTGCCAACAGTGAACACGACTGTTCTTGTCGCTGTAACTATGGCTGTCGTGGCAATGTAGCCCTACTGCCATCCATTCCATACTTGGTATGACGAGTGTTACTTGTACTCCTGCCTTTCTTGCCGGAGGCGCTGCATCATTAAATCATTGCTGCTGAGAAACAAGAACAACAACTACTGCTGCTGCTACCTTCTTAAGCATGAGCTCGCTCGCTCGCTTGGCAGTGGCTCGTGGTAGGTACATCTGGTGTGGGTGCGGTGTCCAAAGACGTCTGCACCGACCGGGCAGAGAAGTCTGACCATTAGTTTGCCTCATATACGGCTCCAGCAGAGGTAGGAATGCTCCATTATTTTGGCGCTTGACTCCGACGACGGTGCGAATAGTTTTTCAACGCTGGCGGCCAGAAGGTCTTACATCCGGACTCAAATGCGGGACCTATACAACCTCCCAAGACAGCACCGAAGCAAGTGCGAAACCTGATGCAGTACACCTGACCTGGCCTTCAGCGCTTTCTTTGTGTCGTCCTCCTGCTGTGCAAGTCGCTCGTTTCGTGTCCTGAGATTTTGAAGGCATTCCCGGATGTATCATGCCTGCCTTTTTCAGGTCCTTGACAGCAGTCAGAAGTGAGAAGGCACTTCTCATTCAGGCTCGAAACCCAATGCACGTGATACTCAAGCAATTAACTACGTGTCAGCAGTACGTGAGCTTCGCTGAATTAGGGCCCCTGCTTTTCAAGCTTTGCAGCGTAGGTGTCGAATTCACTGGACCCGGGCACGCCTGCCTCGGAAAGAGGGCAAAGGAAAACTCTGCGGGGGGTCTTGGCTTCATGTCCCGAATGCCAGCCTCCTTCCAGTTTGCTTCGGCCAGCTTGTTCTTGAGCTCATCCCAAGATACACGCCTCGATGACAGAGGATTTGTCAAGGTAAACAAAGCAATCCGCTGGCTTCGCTGTTCAACCGCTCCATCATGAACAGAAGTCACTGACGGTGATACACAAAGACTTGTCTTTGCTGTCGGGGATCTTTTGCTCCTTCATGATATCCATGTGTCCCAGCCTCGGCATACAATCTCCTGAACTGTGCTGACATCGACTGGCGACTTGTGCGACACATCTGTTTGCTGCAGACTGCAATGTGCGTGCACGCCACAACTGCCATTGCTTGTGGATCGCTCGTGGTCTCGTTAAGTTTTGCTGCTGTTCTGCCCTTGTTCTTCTCGGCGCTACTTGACCTAAGGTTTGGATTTCTGGGTCAGGCTGCTAGCATTTGTAGGGTGCAGCATTTATGTCTAAACTTCCAAACGAGCGCTTAACCCGGATTTGAGCGTCGGGCAGCACCTTTTTCTCAGGTTCCTTGGACTTCGATGGCCTCAGTGGAAGAAGGGCTCATGTGAAGCTGAGCTACTGAGGACACCCGATTGAGTGAGAAGTGAGACAGCGCAGTTCTGCTTCCTGGCTGTCGGGTGCTTGAGACGTCGGCTCAGACGCCTCAGGCGCTTCCGGAAGTTCCTGAATGCAGCAGAAGGCGTGAAGCAGAAACATTAGAAGGCAGCCCTTCATCCTCATAATGTCACATCATGAAAGGTAACGAACCGAACTGGAACCGCGAACCGGAACCGATTCCTCAGGAACCGCTGGAACCGCAATACCGGTTTAGGAACCGCGAACCGCGAACCTGCCGAACCGAACCGCCAACCCGGTTCATAATGGTTTGGGGTTCTTTTGAATAGGGTTTAGGGTCCTGTAGGGAGGTATTGGGTCCTTCCAGGCTTCAGGAATGCAAAAAGGTTTACCCACTAGCTAAGATCCCGAGAACCCCCAAAACCCTGCATCGTCGATATAGAAGTCGATGTGGACCTGTCCGCGAAGCACGCGTGGGAGTACCCTTTTCGGAAGTTTCAGGCCCCAAGCTCCCGAATTGTG